TCCAGCAGCACGACTCCTCAGGCAGGTACGCCACGCAAGCCGCTCTCGTAGCTGCTGTGGTGAGAGAGGCCCCCGTCGTGTAAAGAGACCCCCAGACTCAGCACCCCCAGACCCGGCACCCTCCGGCTCAGCACCCCCAGGCTCCGCACTCGTAGGCTCAGCACCCCCAGGCTCCGCACTCGCAGGCTCAGCACCCCCAGGCTCCGCACACCCCAGCACCTCACGCACAGGCTCAGCGCCCCCAGACGCAGTACCTCGAGCAGCACAACCCGCAGCAGCACCTGAATCGCTAGTGACATCTACAGGCTCAGCCAAGGGGAGAGGGTCTACCTGAGACACACCTGAAGGAGCAGGACCCTGAGGGGGGAGGGGTCTACCGGAGGGGGACCTCGAGCGAGGAAAAGCGGCGGGGGAGAGAGAGGGGTAGTGCGGTAGGGGAAGAGACTGTAGAAAGGAACCGCCTCGTCAAGCGTGACGTCCTGAGAGGGTAGGACACGTCGCGAGGTGGGGTGGTAAAACTGCCAGCCAGGCGCGTCAGGGACAAAGCCAAGGAAGACACAGTGAATAGTGCAGGAAGAGAGCTTGTCTGCGGACGTATCGCGGACAAGGACACAAGCACCCCAGACCCGGAAACGCGACGCATCGACAACCTCCCCCGTCCAACGTAGTGTTGGTGAGGTCTCTGGCAAGGAGACACGGGGCCAGAGGTTGAGCTGCTGCGCAGCGTACCGGACCGCAAATGGCCACAGAAAATGGGGAGCCGCCGCATGGATCAAGGAGGTACGAGCGACCTCCATAACCAAGCCAATGGGGCGCTTAGCAACCCCATTTTGCTGCGGTGAGCCCGGAAGCGTGAACGACTGCTTGATGCCCTCCCCGTGACAGAAGGCTCGCAAGAGGTCTGAGGTGAACTCACCACCTCTGTCAGAGTGCAGACGCAGGACAGGCAGGTCCTGGCAGAACCTGCGGCGGAGCTGGAGACGAACTGCTCGGATCTAAGGGATCAGGACAGCAGGAACCTCACCCTTGGTGCGCAAGGGGAACACCGTGGTGTAACGCGAGTAGTCGTCGAAAACCAGCAGAAAGTACCGCTCACCGCCTTGTCCACGAACGCGGGCTGGGCCTCACACGTCCAGGTGGAGGGTCTGCAGAGGAGCCTCTGTCGGGGGGAACGAGGAGGAGTGAGGAGCGGCGCGCTGCCGCCCCTCGTCGCAAGGAAGGCAGGGCGGCGCAGGCAAGGCAGGGAGGGGAGGGAGAGACCTGGGAAGACCAGACACAAGGAGGCGACGGTGCATGCCACAGAGACGTGGCAAGGAGGGGTGACCCAGGCGCTGGTGCCAGAGAATTGTCTGGTGCGACAGGCGACACGAACAAGGGGAGGCTACCTAACCTGACGCAGACACCTGACCAATAGCAGCTACGTGAGGAGGCGCAGTCGTCAGTGTGTAAACTTGGCAAGGTGGCGGCCGGTCTGGGAGCACGTACAGATCGCCAAACGCTATCCTCCAGGGGTAAAGGTATCAACCCATGCATCCTGGAGGACTGCGTTGCTCACCAGGTTCGTAGAGAATGAGGGGAGGTGAAGACCTGACAGTGAGCCAGACTGAACCGCCGGGTACGGAAGCAGAGTGGAGGACCGTGCAAGAAATGGGCCCCCTGAGGGGTCAGCCAGAGACACTGCAACAGGTGCATGGAGTGGCGTGGGTGCGGTACTGTCGCAAAAGAAACAGCGGGAAGCACCTGAGTCAAGCGTGAAGGTGTGCAAGGCCTCAGCAGGTGCAGTACCTGAGAGAGCAGGCTCGCTAGCACCTAAGGCAGCAGCCTCACTAGCACCTAGAGAAACAACCTCTATACCGGGGTCGTACTGCACACACAGGTAACAGTCACCCTCAGCACCAACAGGCAAAGCATACATAGCAGTAAGGATGGCGTCATGGTCTAAAGCAAAGACATCAACGCCCGACCTAAGCAGCTCAAGCCAATGGGGGATCTCAGCCTCGTCGCCAAACTCTGCGTGCCAGGCGTCACTCAAATAGGCGAAGCAGCGGGACTGTGCGTGACCAAGTGTCCCACATGTCTGACCAGCTCGGCGACCTGTGCGAATGACGTACGGGCAGCGACCAGGACTCAGAGACGTCCCACACTGGTAAAGCCACTCACGAAGTTGCTGGGACGTAAGGGTCGGACGCCGCCGTAGCTGCATCTGGCCACCGCCAGAAACTCCGCACCAAACAGCGCCACAGTGACTGCTACTATGGCCGCCACCACTCCCACTGCTGCCACTACCGCCGTCACCACTCCCACCGCTACTACAGAGTGAAGTCATGGCGGGCAAGCTAGGAGGAGCGCGACCTCTAGGGCAGTACGGAGTGAAGGCAGTAGCACGAGGAGTAGCAGCAGCAGTAAGAGCAGCAGAGCAGCTCGGTGAAGCTAGGCTGCATCACCTCCAGCAATCCTAGCAGCACCTCCACCAGCAGCAGCAGTCGCATGATTAGGAGGGCGGATCAGGTTGGGTAGGGCAGCTCGGCTCGGCCTGGGCGGCGCGGGCAGCAGGGCGCGCGCTGTGCAGGGCAGCAGGGCGCGACGCGCGTGCTGCAGCAGGGCGCGACGCGCAGGGCAGCAGGGTGAGACGCGCGGGCTGCAGCAGAGCGCGACGCGCGGGGCAGCAGCGTGCGACTCGCGGGCTGCCGTAGGGCGCGACGCGCGGGGCAGCAGGGCGCGACGCGCGGGCTGCAGCAAAGCGCGACGCGTGGGGCAGCAGCGCGCGACTCGCGGGCTGCCGTAGGGCCCGACGCGCGGGGCAGCAGCGCGCGATGCGCGGGCTGCCATAGGGCGCGATGCGCAGGGCAGCAGCGCGGGTGTAGGGCATGGCACAGGCGCAAGGCAGGGCGCTAGCGCAGGGCAGGGCGCTGGCGCAGGGAAGGGCGCTGGCGCAGGGAAGGGCGCCGGCGCAGGGCACGGCGCTGGTGCAGGGCACGGCGCTGGCGTAGGGCATGGCGCTGGCGCTGGGCAGGGCGCTGGCGTAGGGCAGGGCGCCGGCGCAGGGCAGGGCGCTGGCGCAGGGCAGGGCGCTGGCGCAGGGCAGGGCGCTGGCGCATAGTGACGCGAGGCAGGGCAGGGCAGGGCGTGCGCTAGGAAGCGCGACGCGGGGCAAGGCAGGGCGTGCGCAGAGCAGCGTGACGCGGGGCAGGGTAGGGTGTGAGTGGGACAGCGCGACGCAGGGTAGTGGGGTAACGCGGTAACCGCAGTCGGTCGCTAACTATGGTGGGCCCGGAAAAAAAAAAAAAAAAACAGTCCTGCGGACCTACTGCTCTGAAACCATGTCAAGATAGAAGCAGGAATGATTGCATTGAATGAATTCTGGGTAGAAGAACTAACCCCTATACACAACTAGCACAGATATGGTTTGACAAAATGTTAATAACTTCCGGCGCAAACAGAGATGCAAGGGTCGCGCATTATTCCAAATCACGGTGCATCTTGGCCATCCGGTGGCAGCTCATGCAGCTTGAAGCGTGTTGCCCTCTCCATCCATCTCCTCCACTATAGTAAGGCGATCCACTAGGGAATGTGCTGCTCAAGAAACGAGTTGAGATGCTCGCTGTCCTCGGCGAAGTTGACCCCATGATCGATTTAACGCGCTTCCCGTATGTTTCTTGAACCATCCACCTATAAGAATGTTAACAATGAGTGGGTTAGTCAAAGGTAAATTAAAACAAAAGCATTCGACATAATCACCTTGACTCGCAGCTCACCTTTGAAACTTCTAATTGAGCTCCTTCAGGAGGTCGGCAAGGAAGAACAAGAAGGGGTGAAATTTGAAGCTCGTCAAGACGTGGTACATACCTTTGTCTTGCTTACAGCAAGACGGCGGTCAGCAAGACTGCGGAGATAACTACTACAACGGGAGCTAGACTACGGGCTAGGCACGGATGCTCGTGTGATCTCTGTGTTCGTTCGTTCCTTAGTCATTTCCTTGTGCGCACACTGCTTGCTAGTTCACGGGGAAAGTTGGCAAGGGTTCCACTAGGAAAAGTTGACAACAATGGTTCAATAAAGTTGGCAAGACAAGACTACATCAGAACTAGCATTCAGGTCGGTCGACTGCCAGCACAGCATGGTCGACCGTGTTCCAGCACGACTTGGTCGACCGCGCTCTAGCAGTGCAAAGTCGACGGCGTGCCAACGCTGCAGGTTGACAGCGTGCCATCGTTGCTCCCGCAGTACAGCATCGCACCAGCTTCGCAGGTGCTCGCAGATGATTGGCATGCTGTGCATCGTCACCTGCACAGCGCACACATCAAGTTGTCCTCGTGCTGACGACTGCACCTGATCCGCCATGTCGACCTCAGGATACCACCACCGAGGCCAGTCTCGCCAACATCGCCTGGGCGACCGTGGCACTCCTCCGCAGAACCTCGTCACCTGGTAACCTGCTCGACCGGGCAACCACGTCGACCAGCTGCTCCTGTATGTGCCCGTGGACCTCCCAAGTCGACGACCACCTCGAGTCGACCTCACCAGGTCGACCACACCCTTGGTCGACCAACTCCATGTCGACGTCACTCCTGGTCGGCCAGCTCTACGTCGACCAGCACAATTGTCAGCCGACCACCCAAGTCGGCTACTCGAAGTCGGCGTCACCAAATCGACGCCCCTTCTACGTCGGCGCCGACTTCCAGGCCGACCTATTGAAGTCGGCGACCTCCCAAGTCGGCGACCTCGCAAGTCGGCGACCTCCCAAGTCGGCGACCTCGCAAGTCGGCGACCTTGCAAGTCGGCGCCGACTTCCAGGTCGACGCGCCACATCGCCGACCACCAGTTGAAGTCGGCCGTCGGCTTCCCAAGTCGGCGGCATTGGAGTGGCCCCGTGTCAACCAAACCCGTCGACCAGCTCGCCCAAGTCGGCGTCGCCCACTGCTGCAAGTCGGCTGCACCTCCCGCACACCCTGTCAAACTTATATGCTATAGTCTGTGTAGGCTGTAGTGGGGTAGCTCATATGGGGTACAACACTTTAGGGTTTCCTACTTGTACTCCTCATGCTGCTCAATGCAATCATTCCTCATTTCTCACATGGTATAGAGCAGGTTCCCTAGTGGGAACGTTTCCTAGGGCCCACCACTGATTTTTGTTTTTTTCCTGCCCGGTGCCCGCTTCCCTCCTGCCCGAGTCGCGCCCCGTGTGCCCTCCCTCCCGTCGCGTCCCTAGCCCTTAGCGGCCCGTTGCGCCCTCCTCAGGCCCGTAGCGGCTCCTTTCGCAGCCCCTCACGGCCCCTCTCACGGCCCTGTCGTCGCCCCTCTAGGCCCGTCGCGGCCCCTTTGCGGCCCCATTGCCGCCCCTAGCGGCCCCGTCGCCGCCCCTCTAGGCCCCTCGCGGCCCCTTCGCAGCCCCGTCGCCGCCTCTCTAGGCCCCGTCGCCGCCTCTCCAGGCCCCTCGCGGCCCCTTCGTGGCCCCGTCGCCGCCCTTTGTGGCCCCGTAGCCGCCCCTTGCGGCCCCGTCGTCGCCTCCTCTAGGCCCCTTACGGCCCCTCTGCGACCCCGTCGCCGCCCCTAGCGGCCCCGTCGCCGCCCCTGGAAACCCCATCACCACCCTTCGCGGCCACCTCGCCGCCCTTAGCGGCCCCATCGCCAACCCTAACGGCCCCGTCGCCGACCCTAGCGGCCCCGTCGCCGCCCCTAGCGGCCCCATCGCCGCTCTTCAGAGCCCCGTCGCCGCCCCTAACGGCCCCGTCGCCGCTCTTCACGGCCCCATCGCCGCCTCTACCGGCCCCTTCACCGCTGAGCTGCCCAGCAGCTGAGCAGCCGAGCCACCACGCCGCCAGCAGCCCAGCAGCCGAGGCGCCCGACAGCCGAGCCGCCGAGCCGCCCAGCAACCGAGCTGCCGAGCCGCCGCGCCGCCCAGCAACCGAGCCGCCGTGCCGCCCAGCAGCCGAGCCGCCGAGCCGCCCTGCCGCCGAGCCGCCACTGTTCCTACCGGCGCGCCCCGGCCCTACTTCCTTGGACTGGTGAGCTCACTCCCTGCTAGGCCACTACAGTCATGGCTACCCCCAGTGTCCTTACCTTTGATACTGAGGGTCGTGCTGTTGACTTTGAGGTCTGGGTCGATGACCTCCAGCTGTTCTTACAGTGCGATAGGGCAGACGGACTCTCCCTGTTCGATCTCACCTCTTGTGTCTCTCCTGCCCCGCCTGCTACTGCTGACAGCACTGTTCGTTCACACTGGGCCATGCGCGATGCTGCTGCCCGTCTTGCTCTGCGTCGCCACTTACCGACCACTGAGCGTGCGCACTTTAGCCAGTACAAGAGTGCTAAGACCTTGTATGACGCTGTAGTTGCACGCTACTCTTCCCTTGCCACTGCTGCGCTTAGCCGCCTCATGCTACCGTACCTGTTCCCTGACCTTGCTGCCTTTCCCACAGTCGCTGACCTCATTACGCACCTTCATACAAGTGACACTCGCTACCGCGCTGCACTTCATGCTGAGTTCTGTGCCAAGAACCACCCCCCCATGTACATCACCCTCTACTACATAGTCACCCGGCTCCCTGACTCCCTTCGCTTAGTCAGGGACCACTTCCTCTCTGTTTGCCCCACCACACTCACCGTTGACCTCATCGAGGAGCGCCTCCTAGCAGCAGAGAAGAGCATAGTCGATGTAGGAGCCTCTCGTGGTGACCCTCACACCCCCGTCTTTGAGGGGTGTTCTTCCTCCCCCCTCTTGCCCTCTGTTGCTTCTGCTGCTGCGGCCGACCTCGTTGGCTTCGAGTCGGTCGGCGCTGCGTCTGCCCCTAGCGGGAAACGCCGCACCGGCAAGGGCAAGGGGGGCAAGGGCGCTGGAGGGGCTATTGGGGGCGGTGGAGGTGGTGGTGGAGGCAGTGGAGGGGGTGGGGGTGGTGGTGGGAGTGGTGGCGGGGGTGGAGGTGTCGGTGGCAGCAATGGAGGCGGAGGAGGTGGCGGTGGTGGCGGAGGGAGCGGAGGCGGCGGAGGTGGTGGAGGCGGCAGAGGTGGCGGTGGCGGCGGAGGCACCGGTGGAGCTGGTCGCGGCTCTGCGCAGAGGAGTGGCTCCGGTGGTGGTCTGCGCCAGCAGCAGCAGCACGGTCGTGAGACCCTGTCCCCTCAGCAGCTTCGTGAGTGGTACGCTGGGCGTTAGTGGGGTGGGGGTACTAGTCCCTGCACCTACGTCCTCCGTACAGGCGACCGCGTTGGTGAGCAGTGCGGGGGTACGCACTCCACCCAGCGCTGCTTCGGCCGCCTGACGGACGCTTGGCGTCATCAGTTCCCTGACGCCACTTAGATCCCTCGTTGGGGCGAGCTGTCTAGGGCGGGGGTTGCTAACTTTGATCTTGACTATGATGCTATTCTTGCTGCCATGTATGCTGTGTCTACTAGTGATGAGGGTGACTGTTACCTGTGCGTTCCGCCTGACCCGGGCATTGAGGCTGCTGCTCTAGGTGCTGGTGAGGCTGCTGCTCCAAGTGCTAGTGCGCCTGCTGCCCCAGGTGCTGGTGAGTCTGCTCTCTCGGGTACCACGTCGGCTCAGGCCTTGCACACCTTTACCCTTGACTCGGGTGCTTCCCGCTCCTTCTTTCGAGACCGCACCCCGCTTACGCCGCTTAGTCGGCCGGTTGCGGTCTCCCTGGCGGACCCCTCTGGGGGTCCTGTCCTTGCCAGCTTCTCCACTGTCTTACCGTGTCCGGCAGCCCCCTCTGTCAGCGTGTCAGGTCTCTACCTCCCCTCGTTCTCTACGAACTTGGTGAGTGGAGCTGATCTACAGGATCAGGGGGTTCACTAGTTCACGCCTGCGAGTCAGCAGGTGACCCACTGTACGTGAGCTCGGACGGGCCGACACTTGGCCACGTTTACCCGTCAGCCGGGGTCGAGCTTGTACACACTGACCACTAAGTCTCCTTCTCTTGCTGAGTTTGGTCAGGTAGCTGCGTCGAGTCAGGTGTTTGCTGCAGCGTCCAGGTCTGGTCCTGAGTCTGCGCCCTGCTCATGTCGTCTCCTGTCCCACCAGACTCTCCTTTGGCACCACCGCCTTGGTCACCCCTCCCTGCCTCGTCTCCGAGGCATGGCCTCACGTGTCCTTGTCTCTGGTTTCCCCCGGTCCCTCCCTCTCCTACCTCCGGGGCCTGCCCCTACCTGCGTCCCCTGCGTCGAGGGGCGGCAGCGCGCCACCCCTCACTCCTCTGAGTTTCCTCCGACAGAGGCTCCCCTGCAGACTCTTCACATGGACGTGTGGGGCCCCGCCCGCGTCCGTGGCCAGGGTAACGAGCGTTACTTCGTGTTGATGGTTGATGACTACTCGCGTTACACCACGGTGTTCCCCTTGCGCAGCAAGGGTGACGTCACTGAGGTGTTGATCGACTGGATCCGTGCAGCTCGTCTCCAGCTCTGAGAGAGTTTCGGCTCGGACTTTCCTGTTCTGCGTCTGCACTCTGATAGAGGCGGGGAGTTTTCCTCTACCCGTCTGGGAGCCTTCTGTAGTGCACAGGGCATCCCCCAGACCTTCACGCTTCCGGCCTCTCCACAGCAAAATGGGATTGCTGAGCGCCGCATTGGCAAGGTCATGGACGTCGCTCGTACGTCCATGATCCATGCGGCTGCTCCCCATTTTCTGTGGCCGTTTGCGGTTCAGTACGCAGCGCATCAGCTCAACCTTCAGCCCCGGGTCTCCTTGCGAGAGACCTCCCCCACCTTGCGGTGGACGGGAAAGGTTGGCGATGCGTCTGCGTTTCGGGTCTAGGGATCTCGTGCGCCTGGGGGTGCTGAGCCTGGGGGTGCTGAGCCTGGGGGTGCGGAGCCTGGGGATGCTGGGTCTGCTCGTGTGGCCTCTGGCGGTGCTTCGTCAAGGCGGGAGCTACTCTCTCCGCAGGAGCTGCGCGAGTGGTTTGCCCGCCGCTGGAGCCGTGCTGCTGGAGCTGGAGGTACTACTGTTGCTGTTGGTCCTGGAGGTGCTCGTCCTAGCGTTTATGGAGCTGCTGGGTCTGGGAGTCCTGCTGGAGGTACTGCTGGAGCTGCTGGCGGTGCTGGAGCTGACGGTCCTGCTGGAGTTGGTGCTGCTGGAGCTGCTGGGGGCGTTGGCGCTTGTGGTTCTGCTCATGCTGGTGCTTCTGAGGGTGCTAGAGTTGGCGCTATTGGAGCTGGAGGTGCTGCTGGCGCTGGTGCTGCCGCTGGGGGTACTAGTGCTGTCCCTGCTGGTTCTGGAGGCGCTGCGCGGCCGAGGCCGTACTTCGTTCCGCTCCTTGAGCAGGTTATTGGTCTCCCGCCCTCTACTGGTCCTGCTCCTCCCTTAGCGTGTCCACAGCCTGTCCAGTCGCGGTCACAGTTACAGCCTGCCTCCCCCCTGCCTGCTCCTTCTCCCTACACTGGTCCTACTGGAGGTCTTGCTGAGCATCGTGAGCCTGCGTCTCGTCCTATGTCGCCTGTTCGTGCTGCTCGCACTAGTGGTCGTGCTCCGCGTCCGCGTCCTCCTGCGGTCCCCGGCACACACCAGATGGCACTTCGTCCTTCCACTGCTCCTCTGCGTGTCCCGTTGCCGTCTCCTCCAGAGTCCTCTCTTCCTACTCTTGCTGACCATGAGTCTGACTCTCTTCGTGCTGCCAGTCCTACTGTCACGCGTCTCCTGGCTACTGCTATTTGTGACCCTTCTTTAGAGTCCATCGCTGCGTCTACCTTAGTTGCTGAGCTTGTCGACTTTGCCGCTCGCTGTCGCCTAGATTACGCTGCTATTCTTGTTGCTGAGTCTGAGTCTGTTTGTCCTCCGTCCGTCGGGGGTGAGTGTGCTCTTAGCACGGACGTCCTTGAGGACAGGCAGGAGGAGTTCCAGTGTTTTGATGATGCTTTGCCTCATCTCATGTCCACGCTGATTGCCCCTGTGGGAGACCCGGATGCACCATACATCCCGAATCCTCGATCGTACGCTGAGGCGATCGAGGGTCCCTACTCCTCACAGTGGCAGTCAACCATGGACGCAGAGATGGCTTCCTGGAAGTCCACAGGCACCTACGTCGACGAGGTTCCCCCACCTGGGGCGAACATCGTCAGTGGCATGTGGATTTTCAGGGTGAAGCGGCCGCCGGGTTCTCCGCCTGTCTTCAAGGCGCGTTACGTGGCTCGAGGCTTCAGTCAGCAGCAGGGAGTTGACTACTTTCAGACCTTCTCTCCCACCCCGAAGATGACCACTCTTCGGGTGCTGCTTCACATAGCCGCTCAGCGCGACTACGAGCTTCACTCTCTTGACTTCAGCACAGCTTTCCTGCAGGGCAGCCTGCACGAGGAGATCTGGCTGCGCCGCCCACCTGGCTTCACTGGGTCTTTTCCTCCTGGCACCCAGTGGAGCCTCCGGCGGCCAGTCTAGGGTCTCCGCCAAGCGCCCCGTGAGTGGGACGACACACTGAGGACTACACTTGCGGCTCTTGGGTTTGCTCCTTCTAATGCCGACCCGTCACTGTTTCTGCGCACCGACACCTCTTTGCCGCCGTTCTACATCCTCGTGTACGTCGACGACTTGGTCTTTGCCACTGCTGACACTGCTGGACTCGCCCACGTGAAGTCCGAGCTGCAGAAGAGACACACGTGCACTGACCTGGGTGAACTGCGCAGCTACCTTGGCTTGCAGATCACCCGGGACAGAGCACAGCGCACCATTGCCCTGACTCAGTCACACATGGTGCAGCAGGTCCTTCAGCGCTTCGGCTTCACGTACTCCTCGCCTCAGGCCACTCCTCTGTCTACTCGCCACTCGCTCTCAGCTCTGCCTTCGGATGAGTCCGTAAAGCCGAGTGGCATGTACCCA